TTGTTTCACTATATAAATCTTATGCTCCCGTTTAATATTGTAGTATTGTGTATGTTTGAGTTCAAGACAATTTAAATTTTAAAATTAAAATAAAATTTAAAAGGTGCAATTAACTAATTTTTGTATAACTATTTTTATATGTATGTGGACATAATGAACGACATAGACTTGCAGCTGATCGTTTTCAACACTCAACAGAAACTATTCATCGATATTTCAAAATTATGATGAGAGCATTGTGTCGTCTTTGTCCGTACACTAAAGAAATGTATACTCAACATTTATTGAACGATCATCTACGCACAATTTGGGAGATCTTGCGGATGGATGCGCCAACGTTCAGGTCCCTTTGTGCTAAATTGAAACGCAGAGAGTTCATAAAGGCAGACAAGAATAGGTTATCTGTTGAGCAATCACTCGCTATATTTTTATATGTATGTGGACATAGTGAACGACATAGACTTGCAGCTGATCGTTTTCAACACTCAACAGAAACTATTCATCGATATTTCAAAATTATGATGAGAGCATTGTGTCGTCTTGCCATCTTTATCATCCAACCTCCTGATCCGAATGTCATTCCTCCTAAAATTCGAAACAACCGGAAACATTACCCATAGTTTAAGGTTAGTTTCAAACACCCTTATTTGTTTACAAGTTTATGACGAATATTATTTCAAATTCGGGTGTAGACAAATGTAATAATTATTATATTTGCATAATGTAGGATTGTATTGGGGCAATCGATGGTACGCACATTGCAGCGCATGCACCTGCTACAAAGAGAACTGCGTATCGTGGTAGGAAGGTTGCAATAACACAAAACGTTCTTGCAGCATGCTCATTCGACATGAAATTTACTTTTGTTTATCCCGGTTGGGAAGGTAGTGCAACTGATTCACAAGTGTTATTTGATGCGCTTACATGTCTCGATGTATCTTTCTCGCTCCCTCCTACGGGTAAGGCTTTTGCTTCTATACTCACGACGCTTCCTAAGCATTACTTCAAAATAGTTTATAATAAACTTGTGTTAACATACTGATGTAGGTAAATATTACTTAGTCGATGCGAGTTACACAAATATGATGGGATTTCTCGCACCATATCATTCAGAACGCTATCACTTGGACCAATTTCGTAGACATCGACATCGTCCAAATGGGTACAAGAAATTGTTTAATTATAGACATTCATCGATAAGAAATGTGACAGAACGATGTTTTGGGGTGTTGAAGAATCGTTTTCGTATATTGAAATCTATGCTGAACTGCATACAAGTGCGACAAGACATAATAATTACAGCATGCTGTGCTTATCACAATTGGATTCGCATGCACTTCGCAAATGATTCATGGTTCAATAGGCGTGGTAATGCACGTGAGAGGCAAGTAGCACATCCAACTCTTGCGGCATGAAATTCCAATACAGAAGATGAAGTCATGAACAAAATGGTTCAATTTCGTGATGAAATTGTGATAGCAATGTGAAACAATCATAGGGTTCATCCATAGTACCACGTTAAACTTGTCATCTGTATTCTTAACTTGCATCATCTTTTGTGGTTGAAATTATGTAAGACCTATGACATATATTGTTACGTGATGTTTGTTTCAATTGTGCGTTGTAGTAGAGCACATGGATATATGTAATCACCCTTCTTGATGTTTGTGCCCTGAATATTGTATGGATGATTGCATTGACTTAGCAAGTTATTTGTACGCGTAAGTGTAACTTTTGGTTATGAATGTTCAGTACAAAATTTGGCTCCAATTTTCATAATCGTAGCAAAAAAAAATTCCACAAATATTCCTTTTATGTGGTCATGTAATTTTCATAATTTCGAAAAAAATTTATATAGTACAACAAAAATTGAAGAATGATCCAACCTTTAGTGTTTTAATGAGCTAAAAAACATTATGGTAACATTTTTAAACATACAATTACAATTTTAAACGTGAAGTAAAATTTAAGTACACAGCCAACAGTTAATAAAAACAGATTGCAAGTAAAAAAATATGTAACAAATCTCTGATAAAAAATGCATTATTGCAAATTAAAGTTTCCGTCCAATTTAAGAAGAGAGACAATTTTACAAAAGAAAAAAGTAAAATTGTCATATCAAAACGTACTCTCATCTTAGTTATATATATATATATATATATAAATATAAATGAAAACATAATTTGTGTTTTTAGCCATTTATGGGTACATATCCTACCATTAACATAAAATTTCCATTCATTTCAACCACAGGAAACGTAAATTTTTTTTCCAAGTTTGCATTAAAAAATTTCTTTCGTAGCATTAAATTTTCATAAATGTTATGGAAAAATTGTGTAAATCGTAAATTTAAACATAATTCTGTGATTTTGAAAATAAATTTAAACATAAATTCACAATTTTTTTTGAAGCCAATTTAAAACACTTGGCTTGTCACGACCCGCTCCCCGTACCCAAGGGTTAAGCATCGTGATGACCAGTAACAGAGGTTACCTACGGCCAATTCTTAAACAAATTAATAAACGCAAGCGGAAGAAATATTTGAGTAAGGGTATCAAAAAAATCATTGGAGCTTCTATTTTTATTGCAGAAATATTTGACCAAAAAGGTAGATATTTACATAGAAAAATATCAATAAAAATACTGTGTGTCTATTCCGCAGTCCTGCATCTAAGACTTTCCACAAGCTATTTCTGAATTGCATTGTTTCCTGAAAATTGGTAAACAACTATAAGCACATGGCAGAGTGAGAAATATTATACCAAGAGTATAAGGGCACGAAATAACCATGGATAGTTATCTAGCCAAAATATTTACATCAATAAATCATTTGGTAGCAGAAATTGCTCATTTAAGTAGCAGAATTGAAATACAGATATTATGTAAGTAAATAGCCATAACCACGGTACAGAACAGGACAGAACAGAGGTCACAGAAGTGACAGTCAAAACATAGGTACAGATTCAAGAGGTGGCTCGTACGGATTCTAGAGGTGGCTCCCACAATAGTGTAGCATTTAGTTTCGCACAGCACTTTGGTCCGCACAGAGCAGAGGTACGGATTCAAGAGGTGGCTCCCACAATAGTGTAACACTTAGTTCCGCACAGCACTTTGGTCCGCACAGAACAAAGGTCAGTGGATCCATGACAAATAGAGGACCACAAAGTGGTCAAAAAGAGGCCAATGGTTATTTAAGTCCCCCAAGGCGTGAGACTCCCGTGGTGGTACTTACAAAACATAATTTTATATAAGGTCATAGCCAAATTTTCTTTAAAAGTAAAACAAACATATCCATCGGTTTCCTTTTAAGCAAATAGGGTTCAGAAATAAAACTACCTAACTGAAACCTTTATAAAATATAGCTTTTATTAATATATTAATAAAACATAACTTGTGTAAAACAGATTTTGATAAGTCAAAATATATATAAAATACATTTTGATGATTCAAGAGATAATATAACTCACTTTAATTTTAATACCTTACTTTTTCTTTTCACTTCCAAAGACCCTTTTAACTTTCCCTATTTTCTCTTTCTTTCCTCTCTTGCTATCCTTTCCTTTCTCTCTTTCTTTTCTTTTCTTTCCTCTCCTCTCCTCTCCACTGAACGTCTCCTCCTTTTATAGGGAGGAGAGACGAGTACGCGGCCTCCACGTCGCTCAGACGTCGCTTTCGTTCAGATTTAATTCATAATTATTTAGGTTTATTTTTATCCTTAATAGATATTTAAGATAATTATTATTTGACTTAACATTTTAATATAATTATATAAATAAAATAATTCTTAATTAAATGACACTTTATCATATACTAACAGAAAATTAATTATTTATTTTAGTACCACATCCATTATTATTATTATTATTATTATTTATATTTTGACCCCTAAACTTTTAATAATTATTCTAATTTTACAAAATCACGCATAATAATATATAATAAATTACTTATTTTTCGAATTGAGATTAAATAATATTAGCATAAATTTTACAGAATAATTAAAAATTTGAGTTGTTACATAACTGTTGTCCTCAAATTACATTTTTCAGAAATTTGTACATAAATTTACCTTTTAACCCAAATTTGTGAAAATTTACATGTTCCGCAAATTTGTAGATAATTTTTGGTTATTCAAAAAATTTGTAAACAAATTTGCAAAAATTAGGATTTTTTTAATGCGAATTTGTGAATAAATTTTCTACATAACATTTATTAAAATTTAATTGTAGGAAATAAATTTTTTAATGTCAATTTGGAAAGAAAAAATTTATGCTTTCTGTGGTTCAACTGAGTGGAAATTTTATGATAAAATCACACAGGTAATGATAAAATATGTACTCATAAATGCGTACATATCAAATTATGTTTTCATACATGTCTAGCATGTACATATATATATATATATATAGATATAATTTGGATGAGAGTATTTTTTGATATAACAATTTTTTTTAAAACTTTTCTCTCTACTTAAAATGGAGGGAAACTTAAAAATGTGATGATGTATTTTTTGGAAAACCAAATAATGATTTTTTTTCAAAAAGAGTTTTCAAATTACTTTTTGAAAAAAAATTTCAAAAAAACCAAACCAAACAAAATGATTGTCATTCAAAAAAAATGTTGATAAGTTATTGTATTATGTTTAAAATTTGTAAAAATTTAAACCGTCAGACCAATTCGCTTTCATTTGTCAATACACATCCATCAATCCGTCAAACGGATGTGAATTGATTTTTTTATATCTATCAACCTAACAGATAAATGATGAATTAAAAATTTTTCAACTGCAATCGAATCGCAAACACCCTTACCAACTTATGCTATGTATGTACTAACCCTATGATAAGGTAGCATATAACAGTAGGTGGATGAGTTTTATGTACATATAAATTCATACATGTATATTTGGTCACATACATGATACATAAGGGACCATTTATACATGTGTATATATTGATGTCATATACTTGGTGATTAAGATTAGTACGGAGAAATGGGAAGGAAGGAAGGTGGAGGTGGAAGGTAGAAGGTGTGAGGATTTTGCAGGAGGCAAACGCGTAGACTGAAAGGGGAAAGATTCACGCATACATAGGCTAAATATCAATGAGGGAAAAACAAAACCCTAGAAAAAACAACCAAGAAGAAGAAGAAGAAGGTATTAGCAATTCAATCAATAATAATAATGGCGAAGAAGAAGACGATGACGACGATGTTTATGGCTATGGCGTCACTATTAGTTTTGCTAATGATCTCTACCTTCCATGTCGATTCAGTTTTGGGGGGCGAGATGGGAGGTTACGCCAGGAGTTCTTCTTCAAGATCAATCCATGATACAATAACTGTCTATAGTCGCCAATCCTATTGTACTAGTATACCAAGAACAACTCATCAGAAACTGAATTCATCATCACCATCGACCGATTCCAAATCCGAACGAAACGCGATTATGATTGCGTTCTTTGCTGTTCTGTTTATTGTTGTCATGATATTTAGCTCGCAAAGCAAGGATTCTGTGCTCATGGTTCAGGTTCTTCATTAATTGATTTCTCGTCGCACAAAAACACATATTTATTTATTTATTTATATGTGTGTTTAATCGCTTAATTTCAATTGTTTGATTATTTGACTTAGGTTGCTTTTGACGGTGCTACTGATCAAATTGAAAGAGATCTTGACTTGATTTCAATGGTTTCTGACACTCCGACTGCTCTCGGCTTACACTTGATGTTATCAAGTGTGTTCTTCTCCTTCTTCTTCTGTCTTTGGGTTTATTTTAAAATTTTGGGTGTCTATAACTAGGGCTAAAACTAAAATGACAACTGATTATTCTTTTAAAAGAGGAAAAAAAGAAAAAAAACACTTATAAAAATCAATTTTTTTTATGGTTTTTAAGATTGTATAGTCAACTCTGATCTAAAAGTGAAGAAATTTGACATGGTTTTTTTTCTTTAAAGTTAATTAAAGACGAAAATAGGCCATACAACTCCCAAAGGAATGGGTAGTGTACGGGAAAGAAATATACCTTCTCGTATAATCCTGTTGACCAAGTTTGCGCTCCTTCGTACGATGTCGCCTTATCTCCTGAAAACACAAACGTGAGCTAGCCGGCGGGTGTGTGCCGGAAACCTATCTGATGCCTAAGTCAGAAAACTTGACAAATAGACAAAGTTCTGTGAATTCGAAAAGCAAAGTTGTGTGTTACCTCCTCCAAGGTGATGTTTGTGAGCTTTTATAGGTTTCGAGTGACACAATCCTAGTAGGACTTCTATTCCTCCATGAGAGTCCTCCTAGGATTCATACTCCTGAAAGATAATGCTTATCCTTCACACCCCCTCACTGCTTAAACCAAGTGAGATGGTTTTTACCATGGCCGAACTACCATATGACCGAAATAAACTGGCTATGCTGAGCCACAGAGTAGGCCGAACTATCCTTAGTAGATTTTTCCTTTTACTCCTTCTTATCTCGGTTCTCTCCTGTTCAACCCATGGTGTATTTAGATCGAGCTACCGAGTAGCAAGGTTTTGACGTTCTAACCACAATACATCATGACCGGACTACCTCTGAGACCGGCCTAACTCCAAGTTGCTTCCGGACCGGAGTAACTTTACAACTCTTGGGCCGAAGTAACTTTACAATTCTTGGGCCGGAGTAACTTTATCTCTCTTGGGCCGAAGTAACTTTTCGGCCTTATTACCCAGTCCTTCGTACTTTGGGCCATAAAGTCCATCTCATAGCTCGCCCAATTTTCACTAAAATTACCCTCTCAATTGCCCCTTAATTCCTTCTCATAGCATGATAGGGATTATCTGTTCATCAGCCGAGCTATAGTCCCCAAACCTTCCAGCCGAGCTACAACCATTTAGCTTATCCTGCTACGCTAAACTTAAAACCGAGCCGCTCTCATCCGGTCACAACGTCTTTTCAATCACCAAAAACTGAATCGCTTCCTTTTCCGTATACACGTGGCACGTTCCCATTCGCAGAAGGCAGCTGTCAACGCCGTCTTCGTATTTCGCATTTTGAACAGTCCCGTCCAAATTTTGGCTTTCTAACAAAACTACCCCTGAGGCCAGGTCTCTCTACTTTTGCCATTCACCTTCTTCTTTCTCTTCGAGTTCTTCATTTTTCTCCAATTTTTGCAACTGTGAAGTTTCTTCGCGTGGGCCTTCTTTACTGTTGCTGCTTCCATCTAGGTCTTCTTCAATCTGGTAAGCAAGCCTATCCTTCTTGTTCTGTTTTGCTTTCGTATCTGTATATTTTGTTTTGTGTGCTTTTTGCAAACACTTTTTCTATTCTGTGCTTTGCTCTGTACTTCTATGAAAAAAAAACTTTAACTGTAGAACACATGAGCATCATGATTCATCCTGTAGGAAACTAGCTTTTGATCCATAATCATGATGCAACCGAACTGGATACTGTTTATGCTATATATGTGAATCACTTAAGACAATAACCGAACTAGAACTCGTAGAAATAACAGTAGTTTCAGTAAGTTACCAACTCCTGAATCACTCTAGCCGAGATAAGCTCACCGAAAGAAGTTTGAACCATTAAACTAGGAACCTCGGTCTTCAACCGAGCTAAGCCTTTGGGCTAAGCCAGCTTTCCTAGTTTCTGAACCAAACTCAGAAAGCTGCCCCTAGAGGCTCAACCGAAGTAACAAAAACTCATAGTTCAACCGATTTAGGCCTTCGGGCTAAACCAAGCTTTCTTAGTTTTTTAGACCGAACTCAGAAAGCTGCCCCTAGACGATGAACCGGTCTAACAAAATTGTTTCCAAAGCCAGTATGCCGAGACGCTTGCCAAGGTCTGGCTAATAAAAACCCTGCTCAAACCGAGCTACCAATCATTTTGCAGAAACCGAGATAGAACCTGTAGTATCCACGAAGCCGAAGTAGGACTCGTTTTACCTTGCTTTTAATTTGTAGCACGGTCCAATGATCTGTGCTTAACCCCTTTGTTTTCTACTTTGCAGACTTAGGTTGCCCAGGCACTCCTTCGTGCGCTCAACCGAGCTACTGAGCACAATTTTTGCATCGATATAAATTATTCCTAATTTATACAATAGATGGGGAAGTATAGGTATCTAGTAGACACTCCAGGCGGCCTAGCCGAATTCAGAAAGGACTATAATATACCCGATGACGTCCACCTGTCTTTAGCCGAAAAAGATGTCATTCTTTGGGATAATGAAGGCTTTGTCCCCTTTACCCTCTTGTCAATTATTGAAACCGGACTACGATTTCCAGTCCAACCTTTAATCTGCGAGTTTCTTAGGCAAACTAGATTATACCCTACCCAACTATCCACCAATTCATACAGCATCATTATGGGAATAGCCGAACTGAACCGCCAAGCCGAACTAAACCTTGGCCTGGCCGAAATCTTCAACCAATACTCCATTGGTTCAAAAGAAGATGGGTGGGTCTACTATTTGAGAATACGTCGTCATCGAGAGAAGATAATAAAACATACACCGGATAAAGACTTAAACGACGACGACTTTTTCTGGGTGTCTGGGAACTTTGAGGATCATCAAGCCCAGATTCCTGGCCGACCTATAAACTGGAAAAAATGAGAACCTGGTATACTTACTTCGGTTTTCTTGCGTGTTATTTGATATTTCGGTTTTTTATCTATCAGCCGAACTGACAGTTGTCTTCTTTCGCAGATTCTGCCCACCTCCATTCCTTATACAGCTACCCAAACCTAGCAACTTTGCGCGCCGCACTACGGTATCCAGAACGTAGTTGGGCCAAGTTGCTAAAGTTCGAGCCGACCTACAGATACAGTGGTCGCCGAAAAGCCAGAGTGACTGATTTTCTTCTTGAAGACACACCAGAGCTGGACCCAACCTTACCACAAATCAGACTAATTCCACTAACTGCCGAAGAGGAGATGGCCAAAAAGAACAGAGTAAGGGCCCTCTTGACCAAGACCAACAGGGCCGAGGTACTACCAGCAAGTCAAACCCAAGAAGCGGTGGTGGCGCTTCCTACGCAACAACCGTCCTCATCCCACCGAACCAAGCGCGCCCGGACTACCGAAACCGAACAACGCTCGGTTGATGAAGACGAAACTGTTCTTCCACCGAGCCCGCCACCGAGCCCCCAACCGGAGCCTTCTGACCGAACTACCACTAGCTGGACACCAAAACTTACCTTCAACAACCGAGATATCCAAGATTCTGACTCGGTTGTTGCTGACAAGGATCACCAGTTGGCCTTCAACCTGGCCAAGAGTGTGTGCCTCCCCAAAGATATGGAGCACCACAAAAGCAACTAAACACCGAACTGAAGGCCATCTGGTCTTCAACAAAATCGATGATCCTGGTAAGTAGCTCCATCCGTTTTTCTGTCTAGTTTTTTCAACTTTTACTTCGGCTCAAGGGGAGTCTTTGTTTTGTCAGGCCATTCAGAAAAACAACATCACTCACAGGAAAATGTTAGAGCTCAGGAGGATAACAAGGCAAGCCGTGGCAGAAGCCGAAGTGAAGACGGCCTAGCTAGAGGAGGCCAGAAAGCAAATAGCCGAGCTTCGAGCTGAGAACGGCTGACTGGCTGGATTGGTTAGTTCGGCCAAAGCAGAAAAGCAGAAGGCTGCCATTGTGCTAAAGGATAAGTATCTGCGCGAGCTGGTGAAGCTTTCAAATAAATAAATAAATAAATAATCATGCTTCTTTAATTGCAACACATTACAAATCCAAAAAATATGTTGTATTCAATATTCATATTATGCCATAATAAAAAGTACATCATTCTGGAATTTTCTGGTATTTTTTAGAATTTTAAATAACTAATAAACACACATAAAATTAGAAATAAATATTCCAGAATCTGGTAAAAAACTATAAATATACCAGTAAATAGTAAACTACAGCAGTAGTCTACAATAAAAAATTCAGCCTCAAAAACTTAATCATGCAACACCAGATGCATTTTAAAGCAGAAATAATGAATTATTATATGAGGAAAAATATTTTTTATTTTCATAAAATTTTGAAAAATTCTCAGAAGATAGAAAATTTAATTCTGAGTCTAACGGTACTAACCACGCTTAAAACAAAGCTATAACGAATTACTTATGACCATTTAACGTAATTTTGAATTTTAAAGAAAACAAACAGACCCTTAACCACAGCCGTCAAACCAGCCAAGCCGGTGCGGAAAACGGTGCGGCTCGACTTGGCGCGCGGAGCAAAGCATAGTGTGTGCGTGACAGCGTGGATGGAGCAAGACACACGCGTGGACGACAAGGACAGCGCGCGTGTGGAGCGCGTACGGCGCGTGCGCACTGGTGGGACACATGGCAGGCACGTAGCAAGCGCTGGCAACGTCAGCTGGCACGTGAGGCACACGCGCTACCTTTTGGGGTGATTTCTAGTCTAATTTTAGTACTACCAGACTCGTTGAAAGATGATAATACTCCTCTTGCCATCTCTATTTCTCGCTTCATAGTTACTTCCAATTAATTCTACTATCTACAAGAAAGAAAGAATAAGCTATCAATCTAT